GTCTGCAATGTCCCTTTGCTCATTTGGGGTCACCTGTCCTGGCTCTGTCTCCTCCCACCCTCCCAGGCACCCCCAAATTCCTCCCCAGCCTGGCAGTATGAAAGCAGAAAAGGCCTTGGCTCTGTGCAGTCCCTGCTCAGCAATAACAAAAACATCTCTGTGTTATCAACCCAGTGTTCAGCACAATCCAAAACACGGCCCTAACCAGCCAGAGTGAGGAAAACTGACTCTACCCCAACTTCCTCATCTTGCTCTCTTGCATGCTGGACTAACAACTGCCTGAAATTTCGTACTTGTTTAAGCCCTTTCATCAGAGTAGCTCCAAGTAGCTTGCAAACATTAATTAAAAATAAAATAGCCCGAACATCTTCAAAGAGCTGTGCAGTGATTAACTAATCCCCACAGCATGCCAAGAAGGTACTAAAGATGCATCATTAGACTTGTTGTGTACACAGGACAAGAGAAGCACAAAGATCAAGGCAAACATTAAAAAAAACATGCACTAAACAGACATCCACTAATTTGGGGTCTTGTATTTTTTTTCATTGCCCAAATTGCAGCATTTTAATGACTTGCTGGAGGCCTCACACAACCAGAGATTCAGCCAGCATTTGGCAATTCCCAGTACCCTGCTCCAAGCATTAAGGGGGATGCTGCTACAACTCCTTAAAAGCCACAATTCTTGTCACAGGAATCTGTCTGTTGTGTTGTCCTTTGGTGGAATCAGTTCATTATTGTTTTATTAACCACTGGTTTGTTTTATGCAGCTATTCATAAAACAGTAACTGTTAAGAATGGTGCTGCAAGGCCAGGCAGAAGTGTTGGGGGTGTGCTGGGCAGTGCTGCTCTGCAGGAAGGTGCTCAGGTAAACAGCAGCTCCATGCACCACTCCTGACTCCTCATCAACAGCCCAGCACCAGGCATTTGGTGCAAATTGGTATGTGGGAGGAGAGCAAAAAAAAGATGTCAGGCCAGGACACCTAAAGGATGTTTGTTTTAATAAAAGGGGCAGAGATGTGCAGGTGTTTCAAATTACTGAGAGGAAGAAATTACTCTTAACAAATTAGACTAAATGATATTTGGCATCTATACCAAAATAAAACTTGTTTATGAGTGTTACAGCACACTCATCCAAACAGACAACGGTTTTTAAGAAGAGAATCATGTTTCAGTAGATCTATAAATAAATTAATTAAAATTGGTCCTTGAAAAAATTATTTTCTAAGACTTCATAAGAGAGATAATTTGTAGTTTTCATATAATTTAAATTAACAGAAATGTATTATACATTTTTAAAAGTGTTGTGGTGATTACTGCATTTTTGTATTTTATCTAATTGTAGTAATTGCATCAACAGTTGAGATCACTAATTAGGTGACTGTGGTGTCAGAGCTCACAAACCATCATGAGCTTCCTGATGTGGAAGCTCTGTGTGCAGAGGCAGGACCTGGCTGTTAAATCCTTCCCTCTGGATTGATCAGCTCAGTCCCTGCTCTCAGAAGGATCTTTCTGCTCAGATGTAGCTTCTGTATCAAGGCACTGGTGACACCTCACCTGCTGAAAGGGAGGCTGGGCCAGCTACAATTAACTCTAAAATGAAGGTTTCTCAATTCTCTTGTAGATCATACTAGTCTTGCAAACAGTCCTCTAAATTAAACCATTTTTTAAAAGTCAGATCCACTAACTAAATTATATTTTATGGAGATCAATTCTTTTTAAACTTAAAAATCTGTGTAACAGATTACCATATGGGTTGCTTGTTAACCCCTTTTTATGAGCAGTAATTGATAGTTTATTAAATGACACAGTTGTGGTTCTTGTGAATATACAGTGACTGTGCTATGACATGTGTGCAATGTCCTTGTTACTGTGTTGATTTTCTAAATGCTGCCTGTGTGCTGAAGTTTAGATTTGATATGAAGGCATCTCTTGGAATATCATTACAGATGTATTTTAATCTTTTGTAGACATGATAAAAATATATAGATAAGAGAGGAGTCTGTGAGAGAGGCCTTGTGCATCCCCTTCCCCAGGGATCAGGCATGGCTGACCTGCTTTAGCTGATGATTACAGCACTACATGATTTCCTAGGCTGCCCTCCCTAGTACAGAAAAGTAATGGAATTTACTGTCAAGGGATATCTGTCTTAAGAGATAATTTTCTGTGGTTCTTTGAAATGAGCTTCCCAACCTTATTTCCTTAGCATTGTCTAAACCTTCCTGGAGAATGATAAACTGGCTAAACATTAGAATTCACAGCCTTTCTTGGCTGAGATGCATTTAGAAAAAAGAAAAAGGCAGCTCAGCTGCTAGTTGGACATGATAGAAATGTGAAAAATTTTTGGACAAACTAAGTACCTTGTAATAATAGTATTAGAATCCTTGGATTGACAGGTTTAGAATTTTCATTTCTTAATTAGAAGCACTCATTAAATAAGCCACAAACCCCACTTGTAATTACTTCAAATGGCAGATTTACAGCCTTGGTAATAACTCAAGGCAGATGGAAAAAGTGCATTACAGAGCAAGAGGTATTTTTCCCTTAGCAGAGACAGATTTCCAGCTAGGGATGCTGTAAGACAGACAGGGTTTGTACATTTTCTTAAGAGACTGAAACCTTCCTCTGATCTGTACAAAAATTCTTTTTAGAAAGTACTATCCCTGTGGATTTTAACACTGCTGGGCTGTTAAAGGGAACATTATACAATGAAAAAGCAGAAGACAATACTAAGACTCCAAATTTTTCCACCTACAGCTAGACTATTGTGCCTAATGGGATTAGAGTTACTGGTGAAAGTTGCAGGTCTCTGCTCTAATTGGCATTCTTGGAAATGAATGTACAGGTATGATCAAACAAGTGACCTTTCTGTCTGTGGATAAAAGATGGATGTTACTGGTACCATTTCTGATGGGTACACAGTAGGGCCCAGGAGAGGGAGGTCCAGCTTGCCTTTTTCTTTCTCTACCATCTGAAAGGTATTACATGAGGCAGCTGGCATAAGTGGGAAGGTGGATCAGGTAACCTTACCTGTTCTGGTGCTGTGATGCTGCCCTGGGGAGCTGCTGCAGCAAAATGAGCATTTCCTCAGCCCAGACCACATGGAGGGGGACATTCAGTAAGGAGGTGCCATGTCCATCTTCTTAAAAGGTTGTGTGCTTGCTAATGTTAATTGTAGGTGCACAGCTTCATGAATTACAGGCTCAGTAATGATGGATTTAGGGACAGAACTTGCAGAGAGGAGGTGTCATTTAGGTATTCAAGGCCAGGTACTGTGACAACAAATTATCACTGCCTTGCCTACCAGTGGGCTTGCAGGAGAGTTCATGCAACTGACTCAGAACTTTTATTTCTGAAAAATATAAAGTTAATGCCATCATTTTCTTGTAAATTATTCTAAAGCATCTCCTGACTAGGGTGATAAATTGGAAAATGACAGTATTTACTGGAAGGGGAGTAAGAGAAGGTGCAGCAAGTACAGGACAGAGTGTACACTGCCTGGGTGAATCCAGGGCATTACAAATTCTGCAGATAGCAGAGGCATTTTAGGACAACCTGTTTTTGCAAGTAAAATTAATGTGCAGGAATGACATATTGGGCAATCACTGGGATACTTCTTGACAGAAGTTTAAGGGCCTTGGCATCTAATACAAGAGTACCAGCTGAGATGTCTGCCTACCTGCTGCACTGAGCTGCAGATGAATCTTTTTATGAAACTCCCTCAAAATGGTAGTTGGTCAGTTTGACCTCCAAAAAACAAAGGACTCTAGTTAGATTCTCCTTTCCATACTGACTAACTTAAGCTATGAAAGAAAGGGTTTGTGCTGTAGACTTGAAAAAAGAGCTGATCTAATCCTTCCTTCAGCTGAATAGCCTGAAGTTTTAACAAATTTCAGTCTTTGCCTTCTGGTGATGGAGAGTAATGAGGATGAAGCACCAGTTAATAATTTTTCAAACCCTTTGAAGAATTATTAGGCTGTCCAGAATTTTAAGGCACCTCAAATAATGGGATGCTGTTACTTGCTAGTTTCTCAGTTGAGAAAGTGGATACTCATTTGAGTTACTTGAGGGTATTTGAACCTTTAAAAAATTGCTTCTTTGCATTTTCCTTCAGAAGTAGACTCAAACTCCTGTTGCTATTTCAATTTGGTGTAAATCTGCTGTAATTTTAGGGCTGTTCTTTGGAAATAATCTCCATCTTACAGCATGTGCTTAGGAAAGAGTTGTGACTATAACACAGACAGTAAATTTAGACTCTCATTTCCATGGCTGTTTATTCACCTGATGTGTCAGAGCATCAGTACCTTCATTAGTCACATGAACTTCAGCAATTCAAAAGATTCAAACGATTCATGACAAAGAGTGAGCTTAAGCTTCCATTCAAACCCCTTGCCTCTGCACATTTTGGCTGGGCTCAGTTGATGCATCCCTCCACTGGTGTATCACAATTAGGATATCAGGTTAACCTTATTTAGACTTCTTTCAATGAAGAATTAAGCAGTGTGTGCAATCATGTTAATATTTTTTTTCTTTTTTTAATGCAATTCCCCTTTTCCTGGGCTAAAGGAGTTTTGTTTTGTGTCTTCCTGGCAGCAGTAAATTTGCAAAGCTTCCACTGACAGAACAATGGCATTTTACCTGGTACTCCCTACATGAGGCATTCTCAGAAATAATTATATGGGAATAGAGACCTTTGTGGACTGGAGCCATAAAGGTAGTGAGAAATTGGGCTAGCCAGTACCTGTCATGCTGATTCACTCTTCTCATTGTTTTCTTATACTTTTCTCATCTGCTTGTACTTTTTTCACTCTTAAAAGTGCATTCTTTGGGGAGGGACTGTCAGTCTGTTCTGCACAGGACCAGTTCTAACTTACTTTTCATGTAGACAGCAATATTTCTTTGTCATTGTTTATTAGAGCTTGGAGAGTTATGAATAACTTGGCAAGTTTAGAAATGAGATTTCATTGATTTCTCCCACTTTAAAAGGAAATCATACACACATGCACATGTCAAATTTGCTTTTTTATTTTTTTTTTCCACTAATAAAGTCAGGCTGGAATAGGTGTCCTTTCAGTGCTTAGGAAGTGTCCAGTACAGTGTGGCTCTTGTCCAAGCTTGGTCTCACTGGTATTTCAAGCCTGAAGGATGGAAGGCTACCCCAACTTCCCTGAAGAGAACATGTCACCAGCCTGGTAAAGACAGAGGACTGCAAAGGAGCCAAAACAACTGGTAGGCCATGAAAAGAAAATTAATTTCATTTTACTTCTATTCATGAGGCACCTGGCAAACAGAAATACCCCTCAAACTTAGGAGACTTGTAGATACTTTCTTTTACTAAAGTTGGGGTTCTATCCATAAGAGTTCAAAACTAACACTAAAATTAAAATAATTGTTGAGAAAGCCAGTGTGCTGATTATGCTGAAAAGCTGACCATGTGAAAACACAGAGTGAGGACACCAAAGCATCCTAAGCTTGTTCCCATAGTGGCACCCTGGAGGCAGAGTTTTCAGCCAGTCCATACATGGGAACCTGAGGAACCCAACACTGGAACGTTTCACTCAGAGTTGTGTAATAGCATTCCCAACTTTGCATTTCACATCCACACCCTCTCCAGAGAGAAAAGAGCTGACATAGAAAGTCTAGACCACTCCCCTGCAGTTTGCAAAGGAATAATGGCACTTCTGCTGTCACTCCTACTGTCCAGAAACAAAACTTCCCGTAAGGGAAGTGTGAAACTGGAGCTCTCCTCCAGGGACAGCAGGCAGAGCAGGTGCAGGGTGCAGTGACTGTACTCCCACTGCCATTCAGAAGCTCTGGAGGAACTGTCCCAGACTTCCTTCATTTTGGCTGACCTTACACAAGGCACAGTCTTGAGTCACAACTGAGACCCCTCAAACCCCCAGAGAGCCCTGTTGCAGACAAACAGAGTTTGAAATCCTACTGCAGTTTGTCCTGATGTCAAAGGAACCTTTGTATCACAGCTCACTCCTTAAAAAGTGTTCCTTTTATTGACAAGTCAGTGGTTGAAATGTAATAAATACTAAACCAACCATACCCATCATACACAATGGATCAGTTGGATTTTTGGCTTCAGGAAATGTGTGGGCAAGTGACCACACCATTCACAGTTGTGCACACAAATCACCTGGATTGCAGTTCACAGTTTAAAGGATGTGATTACACACCACAGCTTAAATGAAACTGGTGGCTTATGAAACTTCATCATGGGATTTCAGATATATTGGCTTAGAAATCTTCCTTAACTTTTCCTGGTGTCGCAATGTACGGCCTTGTTTGTGGGCAAGGCCCATGGGAGGCAGATGGATCTGGAAAAGAAAACCCCACCAGTTAGGTGCATGTTGGGAAAAAAAATACAGACTAAGTTTCACTGAGTTTGGAATCATTTCTTCACACTTTGGAGAGGGTAACTCTATTGTCTCAAGCCAGGTTATTAGATTTCTAGGAGGAGCACTCTGAGGAGTGATTAGTGGTGTAACTTTCAGAACTAATTGGTGGTGTAACTATGACAGAACTAATTGTTCTGTTTATTAAAATCCCATATATTTTAGGCCTTAATAAAATCCTATATATGCAAGGCCTTAGTAAGTTTGTTTTGCAGCTTGGTATCACACAGCAGTGATACTTGATGAAACAGGATTGCTGACAATGTTCCAGAACAGCATGAACTAGAAACCCTAAAAATTCTTGAGTAATGTCTTGAATCACTGTGTGATTTATTCATACCTACTTAACAAGTTACAAAATAACCCCAAACTGTATGTACTGAAAGGCTGCCTTTTCACTGTCATGATTATATATATATGGCACATTAAAATGCACACTCAATGTCACTGACTCCATAAGCAGAAGGAGCAATAGGTGACAGACTCTTCCTTTGATTGACAAAGCCTTTATATTTCATAAGACTGTTAGTGGGAATCATGCAGCTGTAGCCCTGAAATGACTGAAAAATGTAGGTGGCAGCAGTCAGGTGTTACTGTTGCTGAGGCTGTCATCCTGTGAGATGGGTGTTTAGGTGCAAATAGTAGTAAAAGCACTGACTAAAGCAGCAGTAGAGATTTCTAGAATCTGAAAAATAACAATCATCCAGTTTGTCTGAGAGAGCAGATCCTTTGGGATTTTGAAACCACTGCAGAGCACCCATTTTAGGCCCATTTTTAGGAACATTGTTTGCCAGCTGTGCACTGCCATTCTGTCTACTGAAACAGATGGTAACAGTGACCATAGTCTAGGAAAACATCTGATACAGATACAATTTAATTTGGACCATGACTGCCTTGATAAGGGAACTGTAGATGTGAAAATAAACTCATCAACAGGAGTAGAGAGGATGTGCTCTGGGAGGCAGCATAAAGAATTACTGACAGAAGTGACTGGGCAGTGAGGAAACTGTACTGAATGGTGCACTAGAAAACTTTGCTGCAAATTCCAGCATCTCAGTAATCTCAGACATGTTCTTCAGAGGCAGCAACACAGAGAGGTATTTCATAAAACCTGATTTGTGACCAGGAGAACAGTTAACAGTAATATAGGCTATAAAAAATTATTGTACCTATGGCAGATGTAATTAGGTATTTTTATTTTCTCATTCCCTTCTATTATTTGATTCCATTACCATGTTTCTCTATATTCATTGGTTGGCTAAATATTCAGAGGCCTTGGGAGTTTAGTTTATGCAACTCCCTTTAGACTTTGACTCCTTATTTTGAGAAGAAATTCTCCAATTTACAGTGAAAGATAGAGAACATCTCAATGTACATTTGGCTCTGCTTTAGCATACATTTAAATGCCAGCTCATCTAAAAATGCAGTGCAGTGAGAGTGATGGAAACTGATGGTGTTGTACAGGGAAAGCTCAGCAGGTATCAGTGAAGGCTTTGTGATTTATACTCACAGGTCTTGGGTAGGGGATGTTATAGTGAAGTCCAATTTCTATTCTTGCCTCACATTCTTCTATGCACTGCTTAATCAGCTTTGGATCTGTCACCTGGGATGATCAGACAAACAAGTGTTTTATAGGAGTACAGTAATTAGCAACTGGAAGCTCAAGTGTAAATGATGCCCAGCATGTGGCTTTCCTTAGCTTCTTTTGGCAAACTCAAGGATACAATGAATTTTATTTTCACACCCATAAAAGGCATCATTGGTATTTTCCTGGACTCAGCAGTTCTGGGCTTGATGGTGCTGAATGTTAACGCCCAGAGGCTGTCAGGACTGAGGCTGCAGAAGGAGTTTTTTACCCAAACATGGTATATTCTCTGTAAAAAGACAATAGACATGTAAACTACCACTACATCTATGAAAAAACCATGCTCATCTGCTCATCACTCTGCAAGGTGACCAGGGAAGAAAGGAAAGACACTGCTTGGTGTACATTCTGTTATCATCCTATCCAGAAACTCTCTTTGAAGTGAGAAATGTGGTGTGAATTATGACTTAAATTCATTTTTTTGATTTTGCATTACTTCAATTTAATCCCAGACCAATATGGGATATAAATAGGTGTTGTGATCTTGAATTACAAGAAGGGTCTTTGATTACCAGGGTTTGAAATTTCTTCCTTAAGAAAAAGTTAAAGTGCTTCTTTTAAAAGAAGTGCCAATAATTGCTGCTTTGAAAAGAAAAAAGAAGCTGCTGAGTTCTGTTTGCCATTGCATGGGTAATGATACACTTAGCTAACTTTGTAAAGATCAAAAGCTGCTTCAATTACACAAGCAGTATCTTTGGAATTTAATTTTTTCTTGGCACTTTTTTACTGAAAAAGACCTTTTAGACTTCTACAGTAGTTAATGAAGAGCTGAAATGGTTTGAGTTTTCTCAGGGATGATATTTAAACTGTAACCCAAATACACCAGCATTTAAGGTGAATGAAATTTTGGGAACTGAACCCTTACATTCCTCTCTTAGCATCCAACCACAGAGTGCAAACAGCAGGACAAGAGTAATTTGGAAATTCAGCACCATGAGGCCACTCACGTTCCTGTTTTTTTGGAATAATGTTCTGGCTTCATTTCTGATGTACTCCTTCTCCCTCATGGTGTCCTCTGTGTGTCCTGATGCCGACTGCCAGGTTCTGGCTATTCGCAAAACCCTGCGGTAAAGGCCGAGAACTTCCTGTCGAGTTGCTGGGGTCATCTAGAAAGACAAGACAAGACAAAGCCCCCAACATGTGCATGGACATTTGAGGTGCCAAAAGGCCTGGTTTGAAAAGGAAGTGAGTTTTTTGGGAGTTTGTGGTCAAACCAATCAGTGCTGAAATTTGAATATTTGGAGATTTGTTCACACCATTAAATTAGTTTAAAAATATTTCCACCATCCAAAGATATGCTGAGCTATATGAAAAAACCCTGAAATGGCTGTAAAGAATAATTAGCTGTGGAAAGTTGAAGACTCAGTCCAGCAAAGTATTTATATAGATACTTAAATCTATCTCCATTCAAACAGCTTGAGCTCTTGCTCAAAGTTCAGCACTTGGTTTAGTGCTTTGCTAAATCAAGCCTGGTACAAGAATGCCTGGGTTCTGTTTCACTGATGTTTTGCAACAGACATTGGGCAAGTCACCGAAACTCGACACATCCCCCTTCCTGAGACATTGTTGTACCAATGCTGACCCTATCTTTGCAAATCTGTGAATGAAATACATGTTAAAATCACCACAATATTGCTGAAAACTTGTATAGGCTCCAGGGGCTGAGAGGCTTATTTGTGATACCATGGCAGTAATGATTCAGCTGGAGTCTGAAGTGATGAAAAGGTGATGAAAGCTATTTTATCTAAGCACTCAGGAGAGGCAGACTAACTGTGGGTTTAGGAAACTCCTGAATGCCTTGATTTTCAGAGAGCTGTGAACCTGCTGAGCCCACTGAATCAGCCTCCAGGTGTGATAAGACTATTTGTCAGAAGAAAGAATGAAATCTTATTCTTGCTTTATGTAAATGAGTATTTTATCATGTAACTGGTTACATGTTTCATGACAGACCACAACTATCCCTGAGACAAATCCACTTCTGGATGACAGAATTTCAGTAATGAATTAAATTAGCAGAAACAATGACTTGTGCTCCAGGGGCAGTGCAGCTGTGAGAGGCACCTCACTCACTGTGCCAGAGGAAGGTGCAGCAGCACTGCCAAGTGAGTACATGGATGCAATGAGGAACAGGTGTCAGGGACAGGACATTATCTGACTATCAGGATCCACTTGCCAACCTGGAGCTCTAATTACTGTGGGTGAATCTACCCTGCAATCAGACCTGTGTGCTGGGAAAGGACAGTTTGGAGCAGAGTAACTCAGCCTGACCTTCGCCCTGGAGGGAGCACACTCTTGGCCATGAGGAAAAGCTGCTTCCTAACGCAGCACCCAGAATTTGGCAGTGTGCTCAAATCCCTGCAGTCTGTGGCAATTCCTGGGATTCTGGGTTGTAAAAGAGGGGCCAGAGCCAAAGGCCTCTCAGGCTGTTCTTGAGCTCCAGCACAGTGGCTGACCAGAACCAGCTCCTGTGGCTCCTGACCCTCTTTCCCTCACCAAAGTTGGAATTACAGATGCTAACCTGAACACAGGATTTGGCTCGTGGTTCTTTTTCATAAAAAATCCTGAACTGTAAATTCCTAGCCTTATCTTAACTGTTGCTGTCATCTAAAGACCTTTCATGGTTTCAAGAACTATTTTTCTCTGATTCTTAAGAGCGAATATTTTTGTTTTGCTATTTGTATTTTAACATGTTTAACCAATCATATATTTTTCCCCCAGATATAAAATTATTCTTCCTACACAGCAGAAAGTACTTCTAGTAAATGTTTATAGTATTTCTAGGAAATGAATTCCACAATAATATAACTAGGTAGTCCCAGCTCATCAAACAGCTTGGAGTAAGTGCTTCACTTTATCCACTCTAGAGCTCCATTTCAGGCAGTGAAATCAGTCAGACACGAAGGCCCAGATGTACCTGTATCTGAAAAATCACTGCTTCCCCCTGCTAGGTGCGTATTTTGTACAGAAAAACAGTTCAGTTACAAGGGTTAACTCAGCACAAGCAGAGTCACAAATCCTGGCCTCACCTAGAGCCTCTCCTGACTTCCCTCCTCTGCTTTTACCTGAAGGTGTCACCTCTGAGAAGCTGAAAACAGGTTAGGTTTTCATGTAATCCATAGAGAAAATAAAAGGAACAATGCTGGGGGTAAAAATGTTTAAAATGCAGGTTTCAATTCTGATCTATGCATCAGACAATTTCCTAATTGTCTGACAGTTTGGGACAGCACATGCCCTTTGTTCAGAGCTGACTACACCTGCTGCCCTTGGGTTTTAGACATTCTTGAATCTGTTCAGAAAGATTTTATTGAAAACTCCAGAACCAACAATTAATTTCCCCACCAGTTGCTCCCCCTCCCCCACCTACAACTCACTCTTTCCTTCTTTACTCCTCTGTGCTGGAATTGCTACAGAACTGTGGAGCCCCTCACCATGGGCTGCCCTTCTGCATTCCTGCTCTCCTTCCCACATAGGCTGGATGATGTAAAAGACATTAAGCAGCTACTCATCTCTACTCAGCAACCAGCTGCTCCCAGGGCTCATTTAGTCAACAATTATCATTACAGACCTGCTCATAGGCCATTTCTGCAAAGATACATAAATGAAGGTATGAGGAGCCCTTTGCAGATTGAGGACTTCTGTCTATGATAGGAGAGGATGAGAGCAAATAAGACAAAATTCAAAGCCTGGGTCAGATTCTGATCTGAGTGGGAGTATAAATAGGGAGTAATTCCACTGAGAGCAAAATTACTTCCAACTTAAAATGTTGTAAATGAGATTGGAATTTTTCCTTTGGTATAAACAGTGCCCACACTGACAGAAATGTAAGTGATGGTACAAGTCATGTATCAGGTGCAATTTCATCAAGTGACACCACTTGTATTAGTTTTGTGGGTGTGCAAAATGATTCTGAGTGGGATAGAAAGGAAGATAAGGGAGGCTTTCATGTCCTTGTACTTACTCATCTTTCAACTTACATCTTTGGCATTTAAATCATAATTATATTTCACATCTCTGGAATGCTAAGTGGATGTTACACCACTTTCCCACTAACACCCATCTTGTGGTAGTCACACCCATTGTTTAACTTCTGCCACCCTTCATTTTACTGCAGCGTGCAGCCCACAGAGGTTAACCACAGGCGTTTCTGGCAGAAAGCACAGGGCTATTGTATTAGCTGAGCAAATTTCGGCTGTTCACTGCCACAAAGCAAACCGGGAGAGGTCAGAGGGGGCTGTGCCAGTGGGGAACAGAGGAGGTCGCAGCTGGGACCCAGCGCTGCAGTCTGGGCTCTGGAGGGAGCCGAGCGCTGCCTCCCAGAGGAGCCCTGCTGGGTGTGGGCAGAGCCGGTCCCACACACCCCCCTGATCAATCAGGCACCTGAAACCTCCCATTGTACCAAACTCCAAAGGAGAGGAAAAGAGGAGGTCGCAGTTGGGACCCAGCGCTGGAATTTGGGCTCTGAAGGGAGCCAAGGCAGAGGAGCCCGCTGGCTGTGGGCAGAGCCGGCAGCACCCTGGTCCCACACACCCCCCTTATCAATCAAGCACCTGAAACCTCCCATTGTACCAAACTCCAAAGGAGATCTGAGCCCTTAATGGCTCACTGCATGGCGAACGTGCAAACTTTTATCACTGTTAATTAAAACAAATAGTCCCTCCTTTGGATTGTTAGATGCTTGACCCAAAAGTTCAGTAATCTGAATAATCAATGAAACACCAGTCTTATTTTGCTATTTGCAGGCTTGTCTAGAATTTAAACTAAAAGTTCATATAAAAATAATAAAAGGAATCTGCCAAGTGCACTATGCAGTGACCCCAGGAGTGCAGTGCCAGAGCACAGCCAGGACAGCAGACAGGCTGCACCAGGACTGACTGCAGATCCAGGAGCAGCTGAACCTCAGCTGCTGCCCAGCAGGGATGCTTGCCTGGGAACACATGTCCAGCACCCTCCTCCTCTGCACAGCTCCTTTGGTGAAGCTGTAAGTCTATTTTATTTCATCCTGTCTTCTCAAATCAAGCATTAGCTACTCACTTTAAGCACAAAATCTGCCAGCAATGAGTACATAGAGGATTTTAGGAAATAAAGGTTGAAAGGAAGAGCCCGTGGGGAAAAAAGGGATTTTAAAACAATTGATCTCTTCTTTCACACCCCAGCTAACTGGGGCACATGTTAGTAAAACACACCTAGTGCTGGTGCTGAAAGTGGGTTTGTTCAGGGGACATGGGGAACAAAACCCTGCATGAAATAATTTGAAAAGGCAGCTTTGAGCTTCTAAGATGTAAAATGTTTTATTTAGCAGCAACACAACTTCTATTTGACAGCTGGTTTGCTACTGGCAAGGAGTCTGAAGACACAGTGACAAAGTGCTGGGCTGACTGCCTTCCAAATGAAGCTGTGCTCACATCCCTGTTACTGAATAAATGATGCCATTCAAGACCCTGGTGTATCAACACTGTAGTAGGGAACAGCCCCATGTTCATACCATGTGCCCACAATCCAGTCTGTATGCCAATCTACAGCTAATATTTTCAAATGCCCTCTCTGGCTAATGTTTATTTAAAGATATCCAGAAAAATTCACATATCTGGGGATTTTTAAAGGAGTTAAATGATGCCACTTAGCTAAAAAGTGACCTGCAGTCTCTCTCCTGCTGCTAATGCAGCAGATAATCAATCATTCCTTTCAGAGCTCTCCACAGCACAGAGGTCAGTAATCCATATTCATCTTTCATGCAAGTCTGCCACTATGAGTCTGTGGCTCCTCAGGCAGCAGTGTGGTTGGGCTGTCATTTCCTTGAGGGACAACAACTGAGACAATGAGTTCCTGTGGCACAGGGGGCAGAGAAGGGGTCACAGGCTCCTGTGAGAGCTGGATAGGTCACATGCCTTCCAGCAATATTAAGTTTCAAAATCTAGTTTCCACAGAAGTAATTTTGTCTTCTTTTACTGAAATCAATGACTCAGTGGCCTGTGACAATACCCTGCAAACGCTGACCACACATGGCTGCAGTATGTACTGGCAAAATGAAAATTTCATTTGATTTTCATTCTTGATTGAACATTCATAACTTTTTTTAAAAGATTCAGACAAACCCAAATCCTAGCAAAACCTCAATCACAGCTAAAGTATTCCATCTCCACGTGGTGAAAAATGACTAGAATGAAACATCATGTTCTTCCATGATGGTGTTACATCCTCATTTCTACCAGTGACACAAGCCTGCAAATTTCCAGACATTCCCATCAATTTGACTCAAAGATTTATTTCTCACTCTTTCCATCTGCAATCATAAATATATGCAGATTTGATGAAAAAGAATGAAGTTACTGAACCAAGATATTCTGTAATGGTATCTAAAAGCAGGGAGACTTTCACAGGGTTTAGGATTTTCTCATGCCAGTGTCTTTCTGCTGGCAAACTGATCTGAAACCCTGATCAACACCTCTGAACCAGACTCCCTAAGTCATTGTACTCACATTGTTCATCAGCTGGGATGGGAACTCTGCTGTTCTATCTGTGCCTCAGATTTCTGACTGAACTTGGATCTCTTTTAAGCTTGCTTTTGCATATGGAGCAGTCTTTTGATCAGAAAAAGCAAACTGCATGCAAAGAGAATATAATTAAATAGTAAAAGCAAGGACATGGATTTTATCACTGTTTCCTATGTCAGTTCAAATAAGCCAATTTGCACAAAATTAAGGTTCTACAAAATTTTTTTCACTTGCATAAATAAAGGTGGAAACCCTTAACTAGTTGCTTTTGTTCACTGGGTTTTCATTCTCTTAGTCTGAGGTGGTCGAGGCATTGTCTGGTTTTAGCAGGACATACAGACTTGCCCTGGGAGTGCCTCCTGTGCTGCAGGAGCCTCAGGAAGAACAGAAATGCTGACTTAAGACTGTGGGAAGGGGGAAGGGAAACGAAAAAAGCTGCTTTACTTATTTCTGAGCTTTCTCATGAAAAGCACACAGTGTCCAGGTAAACTCTAAAGCAATATGAACTTGTCTCCAGTCCTGTCCAACTCTGCTGTTCATGCTTTCATATAATTTTCTTCTCCTGTGTGTTTAGTTCTCTATTACTTCCAAGCAGAGAAAGATTTTAATGCAGAATGAGAAATTTAGCGGAGAAAATGAATTCTCAGCTATCCTTGGATGGCCTTGCTTATATAATATAGAAGCATACAGAAATATAACAACATAGACACAAGCTCCAGTATAGATTTATGCACCTTATTCATACCTTGGCTTCCAGCCAAATGCAACTGAATGCCCGAATAGAAATATTTCCCAGCATTAGAAACGCTCCCAAGCCCGAGAACAGGTATAAATATTAATGCTAGCAGAGACAAAATCCTCTCTGACCCTTTTCGTGCTTAATTCTGAGGGTCACTCAATGAAACTCATTGATAGACATGATTTTTAGTTGCTATTTGAGAACCACAGCACGGCTGTGGACATGGAGGGCTGTGAATCAGGTGAGTTATTAAAGACCTCTGAGCCCACAAAGTGCAGTGTGTGACCAAACACCACCCTGCCAACCAGGGCACGTCCAGGCTTTCCTTAACACTCCAGCACCAAAGTGGGCAGCCCATTCCCACCTCTAATCACCCTTTCTGTAATGGTCTTCCTCATGTCCAACCTAAACCACTGGCACAGCTTAAGACGCTGCCTTCTCCTGTGGGTCAGGGAGCACTGTGGGCACTGAGCGCTGTGGGTCAATGATCCCTGGTGCCACAGACTGCTGTGGGTCGATGAAGGCTGAGGGCACCAAGGCCTGTGGACATTGAGCACTGTGGGCACTGGGGGCTTGGAGCGCTGTGGGTCAAAGACTGCTCTGAGTCAATGAGCACTGTGGGTCACATCACAGACTACTGTAGGTCAATGAGCCCTGTGGATCCCAAACATCTGTGGATCACTGAGCACTGTGGGTCACAGGCCACTGCAGGTCAATGATTCCTGTGGACCACAGACTGCTGTGGGTCATTGAGCCCTGCCCACACCGGGCGCCCCCACAGCCGCTGCC